AAAAAAAAAAAAAAAAAAAAAAAAAAAAAAAAAAAAAAAAAAAAAAAAAAAAGCTCAATGTATAATCATCCACCCCCCAACTTCTTTTCCATTCCGTTTTTTAGTGGAGAGTGGGGCTTGGTTTTGTAATAGTCCAAGCTCACAGCTAGCAGATATTGTCCTCTTTGGACTTTCCCTATCAGGCTTCTCCTCAAGGTTTTTAAAACGTGTCTGCTAGGGAGACGTTTCCACATCCTTATAAATAATGATTCATTCTCCTCCCCAACCGATGTGGGATCTCACAATCCACCCTCTTCAGAGTCCAGCGTCCTTGCTGGTACACCACCTCGTGTCCACTCCCTTCGAGGCACAACCTCCTCAATGGCACATCGCTCAATGTCTTAACTTTGATATCATTTGTAACAACTCAAGCTCACTGCTAGCAGATATTGTCCTATTTGGCCTTTTCCTTTCGGGCTTCCCCTCAAGGTTTTTAAAACATGTCTGCTAGAGAAAAGTTTCCACACCCTTATAAAGAATGTTTCGTTCTCCTCCCCCACCGATGTGGGATCTCACAGGTCTTATTCAACTGATTGAAGAGAGAAGTATTGTAGGGGACACAAATTTCAAACTAACATTAAGACGCATGGTCCATATTCAACAATCCAAAGACATGCATTTACAACATGTGAAGATACAAGCTAAATGGGATTAAGCAAGCCATACCCTTAATCTGTCTGAAAGGATGGAAGGAGTAATAAGCTTGTACTTTGGAACTTCTGAAAGAAGCTTGTCATAGCTTCCCTGATCAAACAATACCATGTTGTTCACCTTCTCCTTTTGCTTTCCCTTGCTCCATTTCTGTGCAATAAACAACATAAGAAATAAAATAACAGAACCAAAAGTAAGTAACAGGCCTGAAAGAAAGATGTACCTGAATACTCACTAGCCCTAATGACTATGGTCTCATTTGATAACAATTTTGTTATTTGTTTCTTTTTTAATTCTGTTTATTTCCTTACCATTTCTTTACTATGATTTCACACTTCTTGAAGAAACACTCGAATGTCAAATTCCAAAAAAAGAAAACAAGTTTTAAAAAAACGATGATCTTGTTTGATAACCATTTGATTTTTTATTTTTAGTTTTTGAAAAATGGGCAAATTTTCTCATAATTTATTCACAAAGGTTTCCATCATCAGTCATGAGAAACATTTTGAATTCATAACTAAATTCCAAAACAAAAACAAGTTTATAAGAACTACTTCTTCAGCTTTCAAAACTTGACTTAGATTTTGAAAACATCTCTAAAATGTTTATAAAATGGTTATCAAACATGCCCTACGTTTTTTAGTTTGCAAATTTTGGCTTAGATTTTGAAAAACATATTCAAAAACAAATTGTTTTATGGGTGGAAGTAGAGTTTATGAGCTTAATTTTCAAAAACCAAGAATTAAATGGTTATCAACGGGCCTAAACATTAAAAACAAAGCAGTCCTCACAAAACAAATTACCTTCTTCTTCTGCTTTCCTCCGCCAGATTTAGCGGGCTTGGAGGACGGAGGAGGAGCCTTATCCTTCTTCGGTGCCTGCCAGATGGATACCAAGCAGGAGAAAGTTTACATCACTCATGTTCATAAATCAGATAAACACTTAGAACTTCCCAACTGTTCCACACTAAGTAAAAACATTACTTGTAATTTTACAATTGGACCTCATGTATAGAAAATTGCAACAGAGAAACCTTCCTACAACATTATACAAACACACAACAATTATATCGCAAACCGAAGGTGGCTATTCTGCTTTGTTTTCCAGTAAATAACAATACTATAGAACGACAAACTCCGACAACGACTTACGTCGCAAATTTTCACAAAACCAGACAAATACCCGGTGATCTAGCATAGATTAAACTACAGAATGAGAATGTAGAAAAATTGCAGCAAATCGCAAGATGATTCTACACCAGCCTTACTCGATTCCGTAAGAAAAATGAAGTAATACAAGGAAAAAGAAGATAATTTGTAGGATTTTGAAGCAATAACATACCATGTTGAGGGGTCAGCCGCTGAGAATCTGGTTGGAAGACTACGCAGAACGTTGATTACAGAGGCGAAGAACTCTGGCTGGAGAGCTCAAACCAGAGGAAAATACAGGTACTTAAAAAAGTCTAGGGTTTCCAAAGGGTTAATTATTATTCTTTTTTTAAATAATAATAAATAATAAACAATTTTCACCCATTAACTTTTCACTCATTTTTTACATTTTTACTTTCCTAATTTACACTCAAGTTTTTTATTTAAAAGAAATAAAAAATAATACTAATTTTTTTAAATAAAAAAAATACATTTTAATTTTTCGATATAAACTATTAATTGTTGTTTAAGGGTGTACATCTAATCCGACAACCCAAATTATAGGGGTTGGGTTGGGTTGGGTTAGGTTGGATTAGTTTTTAGATTGGGTTGATTTTTCTAAACTTAACTCATTCGATTTTTAGTCCATAGGATAAAAAACTCGGGTTGACCTGAAACCGAATAAAACTTATAAATAACATTGAGAACGATGTCGTGTTTTTTATTACTTCATTATTTCCTTTTATTATTTTGTTTGTTTCTTTTATAATTTTTTTTATTATTTTTCAACACATTATTTGTATATTTCATATGGTTTGTAACGATTTATTCATTTTGTACTATTCCTAAATACATGGTTTATAATAGGAATAAATCTATTCTTACATTTTTTTTTAAACTTACACCATTTTTTATTTTTGTGTATGTATAGTTTATTTAAAATATTCATTTATATTATTTTTTAATTTTATAATCTATCATTATATCTTTATTATTGGACTAAAATAATATTGAGATACTACATTTTTTTGTTTTTTTTTTTTTTTATAATTTTACGATGTTTGTTTGTGAACTTTTAATATATTTTATTTAGGATTATATCGAATACTTATGAATGGTGAATAAATAAAAAAAATTTAAAAAACTCAAAACAAAATTAGCATCCGCAGAACCCAACCCGAAAATAGAGGATTGGGTTCGGTTGGATTGTGAAAATTTTTTGGTCGGGTTGAGTTACCAATCCAACCAACCCGAACTTTTGGGTTGGGTCAAAAAAATCTCTCAATCCAACCCAACTTCACCATGTACACCCCTAATTGCTGTTGATTTGCTCCTATTATTAAAAGTTTGAGTTAAACCACCTTATTATAAATTATTATTTGTTAATAAAATCATTTCATAGTAAACAAAATATAAAATTAATTTATGTCTAAATTATAAACAAAATATAAATTATTAATTGATGTTTAAGTTATTTAGAAAATTGAAGTTGAATATCCATGTAAATTATTATTTGTACGCTACAATCGTGTTTATAGATCATGCTATAATATGATATGCAAAATGAAAGCCATGATGATTATTATGCATACATGACTCATACGTGTACTATGACATGAACAAAAGGAAGAACGAAATGATTCTTATTATATATTATGATTTTAAACTATGGGAACCTCATGCATTTATGTATGTCATGTGTATCGGGATACTTTCCTGTTATGTTATGTTAATACGGAGGCATATCTTCGATATTTATGTTTGTCATAATGTTATGCGATCTTTCCCTTCCGTTGTGTACAGCAACGCGTCAGCGTGTTTAGCACAATGAAGCTAGGCCTAGAGGGTACGTATATGAGCTCACTTGGTGGGTCCATGTGTGCGTGCGTGGGCTGTGGTGTGGGGAAGTATCACACATCCAACCCTGCCCGAACTATGAAAGAGCTCAAAGTCATGCTATGTTGTTTTAAAAGATAAATCTCATGTATATGTGTGTGTTTGAATCACCTAACTCTAACCGTAGGGTCAGTTAATGAATATTTCTTAAAATACTCTAGTCACATGTTATTCTTACATTTCAAGTAAAGACAAGACAAGACAAGATACCCTTGTATGTAACCGCTCTATTTTAGTATAAAAATAAGGTTGTTATAGCTACTGATTAAAACATATAACTTAAATCAAAAAGCTCAAATCTCTCATCCACAGGTTGAACTAAAAATATTTTAACAAAGAATTATTAAGAATATAGTTCAACTAGTTAAAGCATATATCTTTAACGGGAAACCAAGAGGTTAGAGGTTCGAATCTCCTGCCTCACTTACTCAAAGTTGAACTAAAAAAAACAAACAAAATAAAAACTTATTACATACACAAAAGTAGTACGAGACCTTTTGGGAAAGCCCAAAGCAAAGCTATGAGAACTTATTAAATAAAAACTTATTACATACACAAAAGTAGTACGAGGCCTTTTGGGGAAGCCCAAAGCAAAGCTATGAGAACTTATTGTGGGCCTTGAATGTGTAGTCAAAAGTGACTAAAGTGTCGAACAAAGAATGTACTTTGTTCGAGGGCTCTAGAGAAAGGAGTCGAGCCTCGATTAAGGGGAGGCTATTCGAGAGCTCCATAAGTCTCAAGGGAGGCTTATAGTGTACTTTGTTCGAGGGGAGGATTTTTTAGGATTATTGGGAGTGAGTCCTGTTCGAGGGCTCTAGAGAAAGGAGTCGAGCCTCGATTAAGGGGAGGCTGTTCGAGAGCTCCATAAGTCTCAAGGGAGGCTTATAGTGTACTTTGTTCGAGTGGAGGATTTTTTAGGATTATTGGGAGTGAGTCCCACATTGGCTAATTTAGGGAATGATCATGGGTTTATAAGTGAGGAATAAGTGAACAATATCATACCATGGTAGAGAGTCGTGTTCGTCTAACACGTATATAGTAGACATTCAAAAGGGCAGAGCCCGAAAGTATAGGTGATAAGTAAGCTTTATTTCATACCATTTCTGTAAAATGCTTTATCGATAAATTCTACTTGGGTTCTGACCTTTTCAAATAAATGCATCACTTGGTGTATGATACAATATTAAATTATGTATACCTGTAGAAATCAATGTATGAATAGGCAGATAAATTGTCAAGTGCCAATATAAGGACCTTGCGTGGCGAGGGGAGGGCCATATGAATATCTCCATTCCCCACAAGCTAAGCATCTATCTGCATCAGTACTGTTGCTGAGAGTACAGAACTTGCAACCCCAAGTCTTTGTGTTCATTTTGTTCTTACGGTTCCCACAAGCTTCACAAATCAGAGCCAATGGCTGCAATTCAAGTTTACAAAGACAAAACGAGACATAAATCAACGCAGGTCGTGTTGCAATTCTAATAGATCTTTGAACTTGCTTATACTAATATTGGTTTTTATCAACCGTATCCAAAAGGATTAAATCTTTTATCTGAGAACTTAGCCACTCTTGTATCAAAACGTTAGACATGCTACACGAGATTCCCTTCACCATCTATTTATCTACCCTACTTGCTACTCTTATGTTTGAGAGCATCAGAATCACAAATATCCATCGTGTGAGATCCCACGTCGGTTAGAGAGAGGAACGAAGCATTCCTTATAAAAGTGTGGAAACCTCTCCCTAAAAGACGCGTTCTAAAATCGTGAAGTTAACGGTGATCCATAACGGGCCAAAACGAACAATATCAAATAGTGGTGGACTTGGGCGGGTACTAATTGCCACTTAAGCTACATTTTGGATAATTTTACACTTCTTTCCCTTACTCCCATGGGGTATCCTCTTGAAAGGAAAAGAGAACTCTATGGCTAAATCATGTTCGGACTTATTTTTGGTTCTTGTTGGAACGCAATGCATGCATACTCTCTGACAAACAACAGGACCAATCGCTTTATTTAATCATCTCTTTTGACTAGTTATTGGAGTAAATTGTCTTCTCCATTTTGTGATTATAGCTCATCTACCCTTGTTTTTCATTGGAGAGGTTTCCACGCCCTTAGAAAGAAAGCTTCATTCTTCTCCCTAACTGATGTGGGATCTCACATAAACCCACCACGTAATTCATACAGTTTACATGTCATGTGAGCATTAAACTATCAAAGTTTATTAGATACAAAATTAAAAGTTCATACTAACCGAATAGACATGATTTTAGAAGTTCAGGGACCTATTAAAAATAATTTAATAGATAAGTAATATCGAGGCTTATTCTCAAATACTCATGGATCGAACTTATAATTTAACCAATAAAGTACGGGGAAAAGGAAGCTAGAGAAACTAACCTGGTTTAGAAGGGTACATGCACTGCACTGCCAATTTTCCAGATCAGACCTGGCTTCCTGAGGAGTAGGAAAGGAAGCAGCTGATGGAATTTGGGATGTAACAGGAGTGAAAACATTTGAAGTTCTGGAGGGTCCAGTGGAGGAACTCATATTTTTGGCTCTATCTGAGTTGTTCTCCAAGGACTTGGAACCACACCACAAATCATCTTTTAATCTTCTTTCTGCTGCCATGGCAGCTGCTTGTACAGGACTAAGCACTGCCTTCATTTTGCTGTCACCACCTAGGCGCTTAGGTCCTGATGGAGCACCTCGAGCTCGATTTTCAGCAGCAGTTAAGGTAGTTTGCCGGAGGGATGATAGAGGTAATTGGTGAGAGATCCCACCTAAACGTCTCCCACGAACATCGAATCCCTGCCCGGTGCCCGTGATACCTTTACACATAAGTTCTTCACATTCCTGAAGAAACAAAAAGAATGGAAGGTGATTAGCATATATCAGAGTGGCAAAAGGGAGAGCAAATTGAATAAGCAATGCAAATGAGCAAATAATGGCCCATACTTAATTCAATTCTTAAAGCTTGTCATAGTTTAGCATTGATAAAGTAACAGAGCCTTGTAATATGCATTTATAGCCATGGTTCTAACTGACACACACTCCAACTCAAACTATAACAGTTCAAGCCTACCGCTAGTAGATATTGTCCACTTTGGCCCGTTACGTATCTACTAAGGAGAGGTTTCCACACCCTTATAATGAATGCTTCGTTCCCCTCTCCAACTGATGTGGGATCTCACAATCCACCCTTCTTGAGGGCCCAACGTTCTCGTTGGAACACCGCTCGGAACCTGGCTCTGAAACCATTTGTAACAGTCTAATCTCACCGCTAGTAGATATTGTCCGCTTTAGCCCGTTACATATCGCCGTCAGCCTCATGGTTTTAAAATGCGTCTATTAGAAAGAGGTTTCCACACTCTTATAAAGAATGTTTCGTTCCCCTCTCCAACCGATGTGGGATCTCCCACAAACACTAATAGATTGATTAGGATTTGTGGTTCCTCTGCAAAAATGTTAATTTCCTTGTGTTTTTCTTGAATAATTTATGCATGCTGTTTTTTTCTCTTTCAGGCATTTCTTACGAGATAAGACATATACGTACGTCAAATTTAACGGAAGCCAACCACAAGAAAATCAAACTACCAACTGTAAAATGAATTTGGAACGACTCGAAAAGAGACTTTTGAGTGAAAACGCTTCTTCCATAAGCACTTTTAGAAAGAGAAAAACACTCCACCCTCCCAAGAGCCATTTCAAGCTCACCCTTAATCCGTTCATATGAGAAAAGTCCTTTCCAGCCATTTTGAACTGGAATGCTAAATGTGGTATAGTTATTCCAATTGAAGAAACTATTTAAAATAATTCATACCATTTGGGCCACTTACCAACCAAGCAAGCAAAAACTTAATAGCTTTCAACAAACTGCAGGCAGAAAAAGAAAAAAATCACCTTTCTGAGTTCATCTAAAAGGTTGTAGAAATCAGCATTATGAGGACCATGAACAATATGGCAAAGCTCATGAAGCATTGTGTCAAGAATCTGCTCATAAGGGAAGAAATCCCACTCACTATTAGGCCTCCGAATTCTAAGTTTTATCTCCTGACCTCCTCCTATGTTCACTCCCATGAGTCCCGGATTGTCAGGACTGCAATCCAAATTCAATATTATAAAACACGAAGAACTAAAATCTCAATTAATTGCATATTATAAGAGAATCAAGTGAGTACTAGAACTCCGAAAGAGTTTCCACTTTCCATCTGCGTTTGCGCATGATAGGTTGCACCTGTTTAGCTATTTTTTCAAGCACTTTCCGAGCATCATCTTCCCCAATCTTCTTCAAAGGCTTAATTTCCCAAACCTTGTTGAGATCGTTAAGATCCATAAGCGATAAGAGCTGCAAAGCAATGAAACAGCAAGTTCAAGCAGCTAGGTACACTGTTATCCAGCAATTTTAGGGGAACCAGAGGATAAATCGCACTGAATCTAAACACAAAAAACAAAAACAAAAAACAAAAAACCAGCTCTAATTCGATTACGAATTGGCAAGTTCAAAGAATTAAACTCGAAATCAAGAAAGTTCCAGAGATGATGAGAAGCAATTCAATTTGAACTGATCATGAATGGGAGGGAGGACTAAGTGACTAATCTCGATTCAAAAATTTCAAATGTACAATAGTTTTGAGAGAGAGAGAGAGAGAGGCACCTTGTCGTCGAAGAAAGATGATTGAAATCAACTGCAATTGGCGTTGAAAATGGCATAGAAAAAAAAAAAGATAATTTAACATTGACGAAGACGAAGAAGAATCGCGTTTAAACTAAAAATAGGAAAAGTATTAAATTTTTTTACATTATTTTTATAATTTTAATTATAAAATATTTTACATTTTTTAATAAAAATTATATTAAAAAAAATTGAAATTATCTATTAAAAAGTTCGGTTAGAAATAAATCTAACTGAAAATTCACCGCCCAAGTTTTCGGTTAGAAGATATTTTCTACGTCTGAGTTTGCCATTAGAAGATATTTTCTACATCTGAGTTTTCGGTTAAAAGATATTTTCTACATTGAGTTTTCGGTTAGAAGATATTTTCATCTGAATTTTCGGTGAGAAGATATTTTCTACGTCTGAGTTTCGGTTAGAAGATATTTTAGATGTTGAGTTTTCGGTTAGAAGATATTTTCTACATTGAGTTTTCGGTTAGAAGATATTTTCTACGTCTGAATTTTCGATTAGAAGATATTTTCTACGTCTGAGTTTTCGGTTAGAAGATATTTTAGATGTTGAGTTTTCGGTTAGAAGATATTTTCTACATTGAGTTTTCGGTTAGAAGATATTTTCTACGTCTGAGTTTGCCATTAGAAGATATTTTCTACATCTGAGTTTTCGGTTAAAAGATATTTCCTACATTGAGTTTTCGGTTAGAAGATATTTTCTACGTCTGAATTTTCGGTTAGAAGATATTGTCTACGTCTGAATTTTCGGTTAGAAGATATTTTCTACGTCTGAGTTTTCGGTTAGAAGATATTTTAGATGTTGAGTTTTCGGTTAGAAGATATTTTCTACATTGAGTTTTCGGTTAGAAGATATTTTCTACGTCTGAGTTTGCCATTAGAAGATATTTTCTACATCTGAGTTTTCGGTTAAAAGATATTTCCTACATTGAGTTTTCGGTTAGAAGATATTGTCTACGTCTGAATTTTCGGTTAGAAGATATTTTCTACGTCTGAGTTTTTGGTTAGAAGATATTTTAGATGTTGAGTTTTCGGTTAGAAGATATTTTCTACATTGAGTTTTGGGTTAGAAGATATTTTCTACATTGAGTTTTCGGTTAGAAGATATTTTCTACATTGAGTTTTCGGTTAGAAGATATTTTCTACATCTGTTTTAGCCATAGTTGTCAATCTCATCCTTTTACAACGCCCTTAACAGGGAGAGGTTTCCACACCTTTATAATTTTTTGTTTCCCTCCAATTAATGTAGGATCTCACAATCCACCACACTTCGGAGCTAACGTCTTCGCTGACACACTACTTAGTGTCTGCTTTGATGCCATTTAAACTCAAGTCAACTATTAACAAATATTGTCCGCTTTGGTCCGTTACACATCACCGTCAACCTCAAGATTTTAAAATGCATGAACTAAGACGAGGTTTTAGTTGATACTATTGTTGTAGTTTTTCTATTTTAGCATATTGACGTGATTGAAGAATTGAACTAAGTATTGTCTTGCATGCTAGAAGTCCTTTAACTTGCATACAAAGGCAACAGATTTTTTAAGAGGTTCGGTTTTCATATTCTTTAGATCTTTGAAGTTTTCGAGCCTTTTTAACTTATAAATCTCAATCTCGCTCCTTAATCGCTGAGTGGCATACCGAAAAAGAAAAGAAGAAAAAGCCCATTTCGAAATCTTCACTAACGAGTTCAAGATAATGAAAGAAATTCCAATGAGAAATTCAGGAACCCGGATGAAGATTAGAAAAAAGCAGCACTTGGAAGGCCTAGAAATAGGATTCCATTTTCATTTCCTAAAACTGAAAAAGCATACACATAAGCACCCGAGGATACCGAATCATCCATTGAAGAGTCAGATTTTGCTCTTTAAATAACAAGGGGTCCCCTTTATTTATAGGATTTTAGACGAGATTGAATCTATTCGGTTGTGGGTCTACTACCACGTTACTCGAAACTAGAATACTAGAAAGGACTTTTCGAGAGCGGGAGGAATAGAGAGAATGAAAATTAGGGATTTTAAAGGAATTTTTCCGACGTTAACACAAAACTGTCGAGAACCACTTTTCCTGATGCCTTTAAGTTAACGATGGGAAAAACCGTCGTTCCTAATAGAATGCATAGTGTTGGGAATGAGAACTTCTTTCGATGATAAAAACAAACCGTCAAGAAAAGTGACTTCCCGAATACTTTTAAGTTATGCAACCGAGTTCGGGAAGAGTTAGTCGAAGACTGTGAAGGGTGCTATGGTAGTTACATGTGACAAAATCTGGAATTTTATACACTAATTCCCGGTGTACAAATATGGTTGTTGTTGCTGAAAGTACTTCAAATTGAAGTCTATGTTATGTAGTTTGCTGCTTATTTATAGCCGAGTCAACAGTTAAAACTGGTAAATGAGTAAATTGTCGTAAATAGCTGTATAGTAAATGCTATACCGCGTAAAGCCTAAATAGTTATATATAGTAGATGGTTATATCTGGTAAAACTAAATATAGTAAGCTAAACTATATATATATATCGAGCGAGCAGAGCTTTAAAAGTGTACTTTCTGTATTATCTGTTACTGTACATACTTGAAAACATCAATATATAAATCCTTTAGGCAGAGTTTTCCTTGCATTTTCTCTATCCTGTTCTTTGATGTTCATCTAGATCGAGTGTGTGCATTGTTGTCTGATCCTAAATATAAGCTTTAAAAAAATGAAGACGTTGGCTGCGAAAAAAGTTTTAGAAAGCCTGAAATCTGTTTATATGGGTCCTTGTGAGAGCTACATTATGATCAAACATAAACGAGATAGCTTCATAAAGGCTGCCACAGAACTAAAGAGAAATGCAGTTGAAAATGGTTCATACAGACGTTTGGGGGACCATCTCCAGTTCCATCTCTTAGTAGATCAAAATTCTACGTCACCTAAATCTCGAGTGAGTTTAGTAAGAAGCTAGAACGAAAGAAAATGTGAGCAAAATTACAGGTTGACCTAGAGAGAGCCGAAATAGATATACTAGTCAAGATACAACGACACAACTCGAACAGTTGAGTGTCCAATCGGCTTTTTGCGAAAAAATAGGAGATCAATCTGAGTGTGATAGTTCAACTTCTATTATCATAATAAATGAGAACGATGAAAATCAATTAATTTTATATCATTAAATCTTATAATTATAGGTTCATAATGTTCCAGCTCCGTTAATTAAATTATGTCAATTAAATTAATAAAAATATCTTTAAATTTTGCATTTTATCTAAAAAAAAATACCTTTAATTTTTTTTTAATATGAAATATCTTTTAAAATTAAAAGTTTAATTTAAATATTTTTTTATTAATATCCTTAAATAAATAATTAAACTTTTTCAAGAAATTCAAAAATATATTTTAATTTTTTTCAAAGATTAAAAAAAATATTATTATCATCAGTAATAAGTTTCGTTAATATATGGATGGTAAGTGTTAAACCTAAAATAGATCATAACTGTATATACTAAAATAGTCTAAGATTTACTAGTTGTTATGATTTGAAGGGTTTGTTACCAAATCTATGATTTTATGGTTTGTTACCAAATCATTGGAATGTAATCTTCATTATACTCATCTATAAATACATGAGGTCGTGACACAGATAGATCATTTTGCCATTCAATCTAACAGTAAGAATTTTTTTTAAAATATTTTAAAATTAAATTTTTTTAATAATATAAAACGCACCGTTTTACAGAAGACCCCATCCTCACCAATCTCCCGCTAATCCATTGGAGTAACAAAACTGACCAAAGTCTCTCTCTCTCTCTCTCCCACTCTTAAACCCTCGTTCGCCCTCTTCTCTCTTTCGTGGCTAAGGTCTAAGAGAGGCGCCGATGGGGAGCTGAATTCACTACCCTTGCAGTTTCTGAACAAATCTCAAGTCATGTTTACGGCTGCAACTTTTTCTCAGCTTCTTTTCATTCCCAGGTTCTCTGTTTTCTCCATTCTGAATTTCCAATTTCGTTCCTCTTTAAACATTTCTAAATTCCCCGAGAAGTAAATGTGATGTGTTTTAGCGTTTCTCAGATTCTTGTTTGGTTGTTTGTTAATTGATATGAATAGAAAATGAGAGGAAATTTAGAATTGTATTCTTACCTGGGTTTGATTTGTTTGCGGAATGTTGTGGATTTGCGATTGTAAGAATGTTGAGGGATTGTTGAATTTTTTCTTTGAACTTAAACTGCTTAACTTGCTTTGAATCATCGTAGTTTGTTTGGTTAAGATTGTTTGATATGAATTTTTGCCAATTCAAACGCTTTGTTTTTTGCTTCAAATTTCCACTATGTTTTAGTTACCGAGTTGAAAATGCTTAAGTCGTGTTTGGAATGACTTTTTAAGTTCTTTGAAGTGTTTTGAAGTACGAAAAGAACGTTTTTAAGCACTTTGAATGTCAACTTGAGCACTGAAGTACTTAAAAAAAGCTCAAGTTGTATTTGGAATGACTTTTTAAGTTCCTTTGTGTTTTGAGGTACGAAACAAATGTTTTTAAGCACTTTGAATATCGACCTGAACACTGGACTTCATGAGTTCAACATTCTTAAAGTGCTTTTGAAAGGCGGTTCGTTCAAGCACTTTTGAAAGTCGTGTTTGGAATGACTTTTTAAGTTCTTGTAAGTGTTTTGAGGTACGAAAAAAAATGTTTTTAAGCACTTTGAATATCAATGTGAACATTGTAGTACGTGAGCTCAACATTCTTAAAGTGCTTTTGAAAGGCTGTTCGTTCAAGCACTTTTGAAAGTCGTGTTTGGAATGACTTTTTAAGTTCTTGCAAGTGTTTTGAGGTACGAAAAAAAATGTTTTTAAGCACTTTGAATATCGACCGAACATTGTAGTACATGAGTTCAACATTTTTAAAGTGCTTTTGAAAGACTGTTCGTTCAAG